CTGTCTCTCTGTCTCTCTGTCTCTCTCTCTCTCTCTCTCTCTCTCTCTCTCTCTCACACACACACACACACACACACACACACAGGTCCAGGGAGATCCAGCTCAGGTCATGTGATTTGGTAGAGTTTACCTTTACTGGCCCCAAGACATGTATATCTATCTGATGAAGATTTAACATCAGAACTGGATGCAAAATACACATTGGATTTCAGAAACTGAAACCAATAATGATAATGATGAAGTTGCTATTTTATATTAACCATGGGTTGTATGAGGGTGAATACTGATTGTCAGCTTCAGAGGATGTAGACCCACCAAAGGGACCCCCGGGCACAGCTGTGAAGAATGATCTGGACTGGGTTTGCCTTTGGGCTTGTCTGTGAGGGAGTTTCTAGATTGGGTTCATTGAGGTGGGAAGACCCATCCTAAATGCGGATGTCACTGTGGGTTAGGATCCTAGACTGAACAGAAAGGAGAAAGCAGGAACTGGGCTGGGGGAGCATCAAAGGCGAGAGACGTCCTCCATGGCAAACACTGACATACATGTGACATACATGTGGGCCCTGAGTCCCATCTCCAAGACCAAGAAGGAAAAGAATTAAAAAAAAAAAAAAAAAAAAAAAAAAAAAGCACCTGTCCCCTTTCCTACTCTATCTTTACCTTAACACAACCAGTTTGCCCAAGATGGTGGCTCACACCTTTAATCTCATCACACACACACACACACACACACACACACACCAACACCAACACCAACACCAACACCAACACCAAGCAAACAAACCAAATAGTTGCTAAACGTAATTTTCCCTTTTTAGACCAAGTACCAGCCAGTCCTGGTGGCTAAGGTTTATCATCCCAGCTACTCAGGAAATTACAGCTAGATATCAGCAAGTTCTTGCATGGCAGGAACAGAGCCCCAGGCCTTTCACACACCAGACAAGGGCTCTGCCACCAAGCTACACCCCAGCCTGGAGTTATTTTTTTCAGAGCTTTGATCCGAGGGAGATTCTGAAATACCTAGGGATTGGCTTCCAGACTATAGGGAATTACGGTGTGGGTGGCCACAGAGGTGAAATCAGATCAGCCAGGAGTTGGCTGTTAATACCAAATGTGAGTTCATGGGGTTCACAATGTGTTGACTGGTTTCTGTCCACTTGACACAAACCTAGACATACCTGGGGAGAGGGGGTCTCAAGGGGGTCTCAATCAAGGAACTGCCTCCATCAGACTGGTCTGTGTGCATATCTGTAGAGCATTTTCTTTGTCACTGATTGATGCAGAAGGGCTCAGCCCACGGCGGGCGGTGC